CAGGGGGGAGGGCGGGGGGAGGGGGGTGTCTCAATCTGGTGTGGTGAGCGCTTGGTCCGGCGCCTTCGTGGCGAAGAGGAAGGAACTGGACAGTGGGGAGGAACGGAGAAGGTCTCTTCACCCTTCCCAGGGATGGAGGGAGGTGATCAGACAGGTACAATGTGGAGGCCTAAGCTGTCGCCCTGCAGTTTCATGTGGTTTCCATGGTAACTAGTGGCGGTCATAGGCAGCGGCAGCAGTGGGAGGTGCGGAGCCCCGGGATGTGGCACTATAATAATAAGGGGAACCTGAAAGTTAACACAGGAGAAGAATGGACTGGTTGAAAGGACAAACAGTAAAAAAAAATAAAATAAAATAAAAAACAAAACAATCAAACGAAGAAAAGAAACAAGGAGAACTGAAAAGAAAAGGAAAGGAAGAAAGAAAAGGAAAGTAACCAAAAGAACGAACTTGGGGACTCAGCTCTTGATGGGATTAGGGAAAGGCAATTAGCAGAAGCCAGCCAAGAGCCACATTTCAGTGGATAGATACTACTGTGGTCTCTGGCTCTGAAGCCCCTCTGTGGGAAGGAGAACCTTTTGCTCCTTCTGACCATCAGTAAGTTGCGAGAGGGAAGCCTATGAGCATTGCAGCACAAATATGACACACCTGATCTGCGGCCACAAGGAAAGCGTCGGGGCCAGATGTTCTGAGCATACCTGACAACGTATAGTGGGTCACTTTTAAAACCACGAGGGGAGAAATGAAACAGAATTACAATATTTTATTGCTTGGGATTTTGGTCACATTTGGCATGAAAGCTCTCTAGATGGATATTGAATGTGTGTTAAATAGTGATTGATTATTAAGATCACATTTACTGAGGTTTAACAACACTGGAATAAAATGTGCACCTATTATCCAGTTGTTAAACCTCAGTAAATACATAGGTAATAATCACAGCTGATTTATTTTACATATAATAAATCTCTTCCTATTCCCTTGCAAAGAAATGTTGTGTTAGAAGATATGGTCTTACGGGAGGTTTTTTCACCTCTGGAAAAAACCTGACTATTTCTGGGCGTATTAGAGTCACTGGAGATGGATATATCCCTGCAAGAAAATGCTACTGGCTATTATAAACCTAGTGATGCAGCCTGTCTCCCACTCTGGACACTGTTCCAACTGGTCCGATAGGAAGAACTTCTATTGGATTTCTAGATCCCCAGGAACTGACTGTGGGTTTAGCTTAGGAGAGGAGTGAAACCTCATCTGGATTTTTAATCAGACCTTGAATGGATGCTGATTGCAGCCTGAGAGAGTAGCAGAACCTGACTTCAACTTCTGGTCTCATCTGGAATAAACTGTGGATGCAGGCCATGGAGAAGACAGAGCTGAACTGGAATTGTGAACCGTCTCACACAAGAGGGATCAGCTTCAGAACAGATATAAAACACACGTGAGGTATATACCCATCTAGACACTGGACTGGAGAGTGAGGAAAAAGGCCTCTCACCTGGCCAAATACTTGAAAGCCCTCTTCAGAAACAAAGAAACAAAAAAAAAAAAACCAAAGAAAAGAAAACAAATAGACAAACAGAAGGAGCTGGAGGCTAGGCTGGGGGTGTGCTGTGGGAAAGAGGTACTCACTTAGTAATGCAGGGTTGCTGAACAGCCAGGCCTCGTTGTAGGTTGTGTACTGAGGGTGGCTGTAGGGGTTCCCTGAGAACTCGCTCCCTGGAAGAAAGCGAGGAAGGTGTGAAATACAGTTAAGAATGAAGATTTATGTCTGCTATTCCATCAAGCCAGTGTTCACGTTGAATCCGTATGCCAGCAGGAAAACTAGTATATGTAGGTAGCTTCCTTGCCCAGCTGGGACTGTGCCCTTCAGGACACTGTAGTGTTTGTTCAGTGCAATGTTGCTTACCCATATAATTAAAAATAGTAAGATTGACCTCTTCAGAATCGAGAAATTAGTTTAAAATAATGAAATTCAATAATACAACGAAATAATTAAACTGATTTATTTTTCATTGCCTTCTGAGTTCTGATTCTCAGGTTGCAGTAGGATTGCATATGCAAGCTTTTTCTGCAATTAACTATCAGCTTTCTTTTAAATAAAAGCTGAAGTTCTCCAGTAGTGTCAAGACAGCAGGCGTGCGAGCTTGACGGGACAAACTCACAAAACTCATTGGAACCAGCAGTGCTGTTGATGGCAATATGTATTGCTAAATTTTGTTCTTAAGGTGCTGAGGGTGATGAGGTATTTGTGGACAAGAGTATCAATCGTTATTGAAAATGTTCTGAGAGTAGAGTGGGCTTAAATATAAAACAAAATGGAACACATATGAATCTCTTTCTTACTGTATATGATGGTGTTAGTCAGAAGAGCGATTTGTATATGATGAACCACACCTTTATGCTTAGTTAGTGAGTTACAGAGAAAACTTGCTGAATTCCAGTTCCAGAAAATAATTTTCTAGTGATTAGTGCTTTAGGTGCTATTCTGAATCTGAAACACAAGCTGGGCTACAGCTCCCTTTTTCACATTCAGTAAAATGGGCCCAAACCAAAAGGCTTGTGAGCTTTGTGATCTAATAAGACTCTGACCCAAGATTTGAATGTTGTAGAGTCTTCTTAACTATTCTGTTTTATTGTGCCTAAGGAGCTGGGTCTCCTTGTTCTGTAGAAGGCTGTCCAGGGCTAAGGGAATTATATTTGGTAACTGAGGAGGTATGGTGCATTCAAAATAGATACATCTCCCCAAACTTAAAAACATATGATTCTGTTAAGTAAAAACATGCCATTATCTGATCATAACCTCAATTTAATGCAGTACCAACAGGCTGGGAACAATTAGGGCCATCTGAAAGGCATTATGCGCTTAAAAGTGAAAGAACAGCGTGACTATTAGCTTCTGGTCTGCCCTGAGGCAGGGGTGGAGTTGTTACAGCAGAAGTGTTTGGAAAGCACCTGGGGTTCCTGCTAGATACAATGGAAT